ACAGTCAGAGACAGTGGGTGACAAACCAGCCTCTTCTTGCTGTGCTGTCTGTATTTCCTCCTTTGCTGCCTTGCCACACTCCTTGTGTAACTGCTGGGGAGATGCCAGCACCTCGTGGCACTGCCCATCCTCGCTGCAGAGCGTGGCCCTCTTCTTAAGCCATGAGTTGGGGCTTTTCTGGGAGCTGAGTGGCATGTGTCACCTTCACCCCATCACCCTACCCTGGGACTCTGTGACTCAGGCAGCGGTATCTCTTGCTCTTTTGGTAACCACCATGTCTGGCCAGAGGCCTGCAGAAACTGGTGGGTGGGTAGGTGGAGGCAGATTATAGTACTGCTGGTGTGGTTAGGGAGTAGGAGCTCTCAATCTGCAGCTTGTAGGTTGTGCAGCCTCTGAAGTCAGTGGCTTGTTGTGCAGGGCCAGTGTGCTGCCACATCCCGTTGGGTTTCTGACTGGTGAGCACTGGAATTACTGGTGTAGAAGTAATATCAGAGGGTGCAGAGAGCAGCAGCCTTTGATTTCATGAGGGACCAAAGCTAGCAGTACAGTTCTGGCATTGCACTGGAAATTTGCTGCTAGCTGCACTTGTCTTGGCACAGGCAACAGGGAATTAGCACTTGGAACGGTGAACACACCTTCACAGGAAAATGTATGCAGCTAGTCGGGTGATGAGCTAAAACCTAGTAGCCATGGGCTGGCCCAAAACCTGGGGTCAGAGGATATAGGGTTAACTAGGACTGCAAATCAACATAGGCTCAGGGAAGCTTGGAGGTGGGGCTAGGGAGGCTGCAGGGAGTGTTCCTGCAGGGAGCCGATACCACCAGCCTGGCAGATCTGGCTGGACCGGAACAGCCTCCAAGGTGACTTAAGATCTTCGCTGTCAGGCGGTCTCTGGACTCCCGGAGAGCCGCTGTGACTCGCCGCATGTGTCAGCCCTTGCTCACAGCGCTGCTCCTGGGCAGGCACACCCGCGAGAGAAGGGGTTTCCTGTCTAGACCCCAGTAATCGCGGCGAGGAGGGGTTTGCACACAAGCTCCTACTCTTTTTCCTGCGATTACCGAAGCAGAAGCCAGGCCACAGCTCCTCGGGAGGGAACACCTCACTTCTGCCATGTGTCTTGGAAAACATGGTCACCGTCTGCTCCTCGCTCCCCCTTGCTTTGGGCAGTTAGTCAGAGCGGGTACCAGCTGCCCCCCTGCCTCTGCTCCTGCTGGCTGTGGGAGAGCTCAGAAAGTTGTCAGCCCCCCCAGCTGTGGGTGCAGGATTTCCCTTGATGCTCAAGGGATGAGTCTGAGAATGAGTCTCCTTGGAGACTGCTTTTGGGAGGAAGGAGTAGAACATCAGGACCAGTCCAGATCTTCTTGCCCTAGAAGCTACATGACTGAGGAGAGTGATTGAGGAAAATGCAAATTCCCTGAATCCTCCCCTGCCTGGGACTTGAGGTGATGCTTAAGTAAAGAAATGGCATTAAACTGTGTCCCTTTACCATGAGCTGTGTGGCTCTAGCACCCCTGCTCCCCCAGGGAGGGCAGAGCGTGCCCCTGCACAGGGGGGCCAGTGTGGATCCATGTGGGCCATGCCAGCCATGAGCACTCCTGTGCTGTGTCAGGCCACGTTAGTGCTCAGAGTCCCTTGTCCTTGAGTAAGCAGGGCCCGAACGGTCACCAGCACAGCTCCCTAACAGGGGACGTTTGAAATCCCACTGTGTTAGGAGAACAGAGCCGTCATTTGCAGCCTGCCAGCTCCTGGCCACAGGTGGAGGCTTCCCTGTGTGGTGGCGGGGCTGCCTGGCTCTTCTGGGACTGCTGCTGGGGCCAGCCTGCCTGTGGGGGCTGCTCCTGCTGCCTGCGGGGCACGGGTGGGAGGGCAGAGGACAGAAAGCCAGAACTGTTTCATAGACTACTTTTGTACGCAGTTAAATTGTTTTAGTAATAAATGAATGCATAGAAGCCTTTCTCCTTCAGACAGCAGAGCTCGTAGCCACACAGGTTTTCCGGGACCCGTTTCCCCTTGCAGCTTGCAGATTCAGTTCCCTAGATGTGAAATCCCTCGACGTCTGTCCGGGCGGCGTGAGACCAGCGCGCTGGTGGCAGAAGTCCTCCCGCTCGTGCGTCAGCGAGTTGCTGGCAGCAGGAACCCATCCTGCGCCGCCTCTCCCAGTGGGTTCCTGAAAAGCAGCTCTTGTGGGAGGGATCCCACGTGCCTGGGTACCCTGTCAGAGGGACAAGGAGCCTTTTGCTGAACCCACAGCCCTAGCTGTTGCTAACAACCTTTACTGTTTAAATAAAAGCCCTTCAGTAAGTAGAAATGGGGCTAGAGGAGATATCCTCAGGGCATGGGCACTGCAGCTGAGTTTACAGAAGCCAGTGCAGGTTTTCTGCAAGGGGTCAGCTTGGGAGTGATGGCAGCAGGACTGTCTCGCGTGCTAATGAATTTTCCTTCAGTGTTACATGTGCCAGCTTGCTGTGGGCTTGCAGGAGTCGGGGCTGTCAGGGGAGCATCAACTTTGCAGTTCTTGCCTGTTGCCAGCTGGCAGGGGCTGTGTCCTCTGTCTCGCACACCAGCCACCCCCCCCCCCCCCCCCCCCCCCCCCCCCCCCCCCCCCCCCCCCCCCCCCCCCCCCCCCCCCCCCCCCCCCCCCCCCCCCCCCCCCCCCCCCCCCCCCCCCCCCCCCCCCCCCCCCCCCCCCCCCCCCCCCCCCCCCCCCCCCCCCCCCCCCCCCCCCCCCCCCCCCCCCCCCCCCCCCCCCCCCCCCCCCCCCCCCCCCCCCCCCCCCCCCCCCCCCCCCCCCCCCCCCCCCCCCCCCCCCCCCCCCCCCCCCCCCCCCCCCCCCCCCCCCCCCCCCCCCCCCCCCCCCCCCCCCCCCCCCCCCCCCCCCCCCCCCCCCCCCCCCCCCCCCCCCCCCCCCCCCCCCCCCCCCCCCCCCCCCCCCCCCCCCCCCCCCCCCCCCCCCCCCCCCCCCCCCCCCCCCCCCCCCCCCCCCCCCCCCCCCCCCCCCCCCCCCCCCCCCCCCCCCCCCCCCCCCCCCCCCCCCCCCCCCCCCCCCCCCCCCCCCCCCCCCCCCCCCCCCCCCCCCCCCCCCCCCCCCCCCCCCCCCCCCCCCCCCCCCCCCCCCCCCCCCCCCCCCCCCCCCCCCCCCCCCCCCCCCCCCCCCCCCCCCCCCCCCCCCCCCCCCCCCCCCCCCCCCCCCCCCCCCCCCCCCCCCCCCCCCCCCCCCCCCCCCCCCCCCCCCCCCCCCCCCCCCCCCCCCCCCCCCCCCCCCCCCCCCCCCCCCCCCCCCCCCCCCCCCCCCCCCCCCCCCCCCCCCCCCCCCCCCCCCCCCCCCCCCCCCCCCCCCCCCCCCCCCCCCCCCCCCCCCCCCCCCCCCCCCCCCCCCCCCCCCCCCCCCCCCCCCCCCCCCCCCCCCCCCCCCCCCCCCCCCCCCCCCCCCCCCCCCCCCCCCCCCCCCCCCCCCCCCCCCCCCCCCCCCCCCCCCCCCCCCCCCCCCCCCCCCCCCCCCCCCCCCCCCCCCCCCCCCCCCCCCCCCCCCCCCCCCCCCCCCCCCCCCCCCCCCCCCCCCCCCCCCCCCCCCCCCCCCCCCCCCCCCCCCCCCCCCCCCCCCC